GACTCAACCCTGTGTGCGTGTGCGTGTGAGTGTAACCGCGCCTTGCAAGTCTGCACAAACAGCGCAGCCCTGAAACAGGAAAGGTGACATTTTTGACTAACAACTGGCGAGATCTGACTTCAGACTGTACTGTCTGTACCTGTCCTACATGCGCTGCAGCCGGCCCAGCCTGGGCAGGTGGATCTAGTCCAGGCATCAAGGTGTGCCCATGACCGCATTGAGCAATAGGCTTCTGACCCCCCTCCTCCTCCTCACCCTCCTCCTCACCTGGTGTGACTATCTGAAGAAAGAGTTTACACAGGCTCTTAGAGGGCTGCTTTAACAACACTCCTCATTGTGCATTTGAAGCCACACAAGATTTGTCAGGGTGAGTTAGATGAGCTGTCCTGTACAAAAACCAGGGGCTGCTCTTATCTTAAACACCTTCAGTCACTTTTTTTCCTCCCTCTCTCTCTCTCTCTTTTATTGCAATCCCCTTCCTGTTGAGAAACTCCTGCCGCCTGTGGCTGATAAAGCAGCATTTTTACTCAAAGTGAAAGGTGAAAGCTTGGGTATTAATCTTGCACTTTTTTGTTTTTTAATTCAGTAATCTGAGTCATCTGTCAGATTAACATGTAGGATGAAGTTGAAACAGACAGGTGGGCGCCTCTCTGTGCACCCAACAGCAGCAGCCTGCAGAGCCAGCAGATCTGTTCTGAGTTGGTTAAAGGAAGTGGTCAGTATTGGCTGAGCAGATTGGCCTCGTTGATCTTCTTGAGCTCGTGTCTGAAAGTAGCACATTCACACACCACGCCTGTTTGTTGTTCCATTGAGGTCAACAACACTTTGTATTTTGTAAGAGTCATCTTTTTTAAAAAAGAAATCCAAATGAACAGAGACTTAAAACTCTCTGGTGACGTTGTGATGCTTTTTGGGGAGACTGCTGCTTTCCTTCTTTGTGTGTTTGATGCGTAGATTTATAGGTAAACATGTAGATTGAGGTGTGACGAGACACTGTCAGGATACTCTCTAAATGTATTGCTTGAGTGCTACAAAAACAGTTTTCATCAATGTTTTTGAGTTCTGACAACTTCTAATGAAAAATATGTTCAATCAACAAAATACACTGAGTTATGGAAATGAGCTTTTCCTCTGCAATCAGATGTATTTTTAGCTACCAGTCTTAACTGTCTAAAATTGTTCAGGCGTGTTAAGATAGAAGAGGGAACTTGAAATCCTCACACAAGGTGAAGAATAATTAAGCTATCAAGCCAATTTCACTATGTTACCTCACCTTGAATTTGGTTTTAAATTGACCAAAGCAGAAATTTGAGTTTGTGTACCAATTACCAACATTATTGTTTCAACCCCACCGATCAAAATCATGTTTACAACCTAAAAGTTTTATGTAAGTCAGTAAAATCTGATATTTTTGTCTTGCAACCCTGCATTTAAATAAGTGATGGGAAGAGGTCGATTGAATTACTTCGATTGCAGAAAGATGAATATAAAACATATCGGATAAAACGTGTAAGCTGTTCTCAGGAATCAGATACTGATTGATATCCTTTAAAAAAAAACAACTTTGGCCGCAGCTAAAGTTTTTTTTCCCCCTCAATATCAGCTAATCTACAGATAGTTTTCGTGTTTAATCATTTGGTGTGTGAAAAGTGTGACATCCAGAGTCCAAGCTGGTGTTTTGAGACATCTTGCTTGTGCCACCAATAGTCTCAAACCCAAAGACAGTCACTTTAATTCACTTTACAACATCACGTTTAGATTTGAGAAGCAGGAATCTGTGAATTTTTCCTTGAAATATTTCTTAAGCGATTGATTTTCTGGTAATTAAGCACTTATTTGACTCAGCATCACAGCGGCTAAGAAAGTCTTCTGTCCTTGCTGCCTGTGGCCTTTTACATAACTCAGTGTAATTTCTTTTTTTGTATTATGTGTTTATGTTCTATTCATTATTGTTTGGATTGTGTGGTTACTGCTGGCTATAGAATGAGTTGCCCCTCGTGGCTACTAAAGATATCAAAACAATCCCCTTTATTTCTATTGCACCACTAAAGGGCTCTAAAACTGTACTTGTGTATCTGTCTTCTTTAGTTTCATCTTTAAGTGAAAAATGTTTTCTATGGTACTAACTGAGTTTCTTCTCTCCCTTCTCCCGCCTCAGATGTCACTGATGTGGCGGACGGCTCATCAGGCGACCACCCTCCTCCTCATCCTCCTCCGCAGGTCCGATCTCCTGACGAGGGTCGCGACCTCCTGACTTGTGGCCAGTGCAGCCAGGCCTTCCCCCTCGCCCACATCCTGGCCTTCATCCAGCACAAACAGGGCGGCTGCAGCTCCCGAAACCAAGCCCCGAATGCCGGTGCCACGCCCCCCTCGCCTGCTGGCCGAGCGCGGCGGCCGGTCAGCAGCGGCGACCCAGGGCCGGGCTTCATCGAGTTGCGACGAGGGACAGCCAGGGAGCGAGTGTGGGGGGAAGAGCCCGGCCTGAAGATGAAGGCGGAGCCCAGCAAAGCAGGTGAGCACTCCGTAGGAGAAGACAGGTTGCTAATTAGTGACTCTGTTTTTTGTTTTGTTATATCTTTTTTTTTTCAACTGCCCTCCTCTTCATTTAACAACTGTCCCTCCCTCCCTCCTTCCCTCCCTCCCTCTCGAGTCCAGCTCATTAACTAGCCGTTGCCATTAGCAGACCTGCGTGAGTTAGTGACGCACAGGCTAATTGTGTGGAAAGGATAGGCGTCAGGAACATTCGGAGGGCAGCGAGGGTCCCTGAGGGCTCGGCACTGAGCACCTGAGCTCCAGAGCTCCTTCCCATCTCCCTGACTGTCAGTCTCTGAGGTGGAATGGCCAGGTAAACATGTTTCTCCCTGCCTGTCATCCGCTGCGTCCTGGAAAACAGACACCCGAGCCCCCCTCCTCTAAAACCAGAGACAGCGCCATGTTTCCAGTTTATTTTTTTTTGCAAAGGGGGCTGAGTGTTGTAGTCACGCACTGCGGTGTGAAATGGTCAGAGGAGTGGATGTGAGGCAGATCGTGCAGCTCTCCTCGCTGTCATGACACTATAATGGAGGACATTGCATCATGTGCAGCTCCTCTGCTATCTCCCACTGTTCTGCCCCAGGCCGAGCCACCTGAGCTCCTGGGAATCTCCTCTTTCCTCCCGCTTTCTCTTCATCTTATTCATCTCCTTCTCCCTCTTCTTCTTCTTCCCCCTTGTTTTCACATTTTCTGCATCTTAACTCATCCCCCTCTTCTCATTCTGCCTTAAGTGTATAATACATCAGTGCTGATTTTCTTAAAGGTCCTTTTCTTTACGCCTTTCCTGCTGCTGTTTTTTTTTTTTTAAAGAGAGAAGATGAGCAGAAAAGAAATGTGACTGTGGACACTGTGATGGTCTTGCCAAATATAATATGTCACGGTGGGGGTCAAGCCCATCAAAACCCAATCAGAAATTCATGAATTCTCATTAAAATCCTTTTGAAGAATTTCATGTCCCCTGGATAAAAAAAAAAAAAAAATTGTGTGTGAGATGGAGGGTTGTTGTGTTTTTCCCTGCAAAAGGTCAGATGCGTTTGAAGGTCACGCTGTATCTCAAAAGTGAGAAAGGTTTTTAGGACTCTGAAAGATGTTGTAAATGATTGCAAGTGGACACGGCGTCTTGCCACACACTCTGTGTCAGTGCCCCTTTTTCACATTTTGAAACTCTCTCTGTCATGTACACACACGTTAGCAGTTCCTTCCTTTGTGTAACGCTCAGGGGACGGGTGCACGCACCGTTTCCGTTTGTCCACAACCTCGCTTGTTTTTCTATTTCAGTCTGTTTTTTCATCTCCGTCTCTCACTTAGAGTCACAGAACGAGCCAGTTTAGTAATTTGGTGCCCGCAGGATTATACAACAAACCTAACACGTGCACGAGGCGAGGAGGGGGGGAAAAGAGCATGACAGCTTGTGAATAATGCAAAAAGTAGATAAGTTCGGGATTAAATTTTTATTCAAGAATGTAGGTTGCATTTGTTTGGTAAGTTTTATTTTGGTACACAGCTTTAGTTTTTTTTTTGTCTCTTCAGTTTTGACATAAAGTTATCGGGTGTCAAAATCAGGAAAAAGTGTGGATTTAATTGGACGGCCTGCTGTCTTGTTAGCAAGAAGGACGTCTTGTTTGACTCGAGTGGCTTCGCAGCAGAGAAACTGAGCATCTTGAAGCGCCGGAGATGACTGAAAGTGAAAGAGCAGTTATCCCACAACAGACAGGTCCGCCGTCTATTTTCTGTATTCAAGAGAGAAGAAGAAGAAGAAGAAGAAGCGGCGGCGAGGACGGAGGAGAAAAGGGGGTAGAAGCGGGATGGATTACTGAAGAGCCGCGTGCATCTGTCTCATTCCTTTTTATTTATTCTCCTTGTTTGTTTTTTTTTTCTTTCTCCCCCCTCATCTCCAACAACCACCACCACCCCCCCACACACACCCCTCCTCTGTTTCTTCCCCCCATCTTCAACACACTTTTGCTTTGCCCTCTTTCAATTTCTCGCCCCCCCCCCTCCACCCCTCCTCTTTCCTCTTTTTTCTCCTCCCTCTGCCTCCCAAGGGAAAAGAGATTCTGCCTGCTGCTCGTTAGTGCTCCCAGCCAATCTGCATTTTTAATTAGTAGTTATTGCTTCTGCTTAATATTCAAGTGCTACCCCGGGCCAAATGGGAATCCTTACAAAAAAAAAAAAAAAAAGCGTGGAGTGAGCGGGGAGAGAGTGAAGGAAAGAGAAACCGGCTGGGTATTGTGTTTCACTCCAGGACCCCGAGACAAAAGCCCCCCCCTCAGGGAAAGATTTGGAGGGTTTTGGGGAGGCGGAGGGGTGAGGAGAGCCAGGGTTGGAGGATGGGTCTCAAGTACAATCCGAAGGGGTGACATATTTTCGTGGTGTCTCTTGGCCCCCCGTACTACATTATAATCTTTTTATCTCATTTTCTTTTTATCTCCTGAGCCCTGACCTACCTATCGCTCTCCTTTTTTTTCTTTTTTTTTTTTTCCTCCTCTCACTCTTCACCCTATTTTTAAAAGAAGTATCTCAACTTCTCCTGGGTTTCTCCTCAGGCTAGGTTAAAGGACACGAACACCATAGCTACTCTCGTCTCCAGACAGAGGGAGGGCGGGAGAGGGGAAAAAGAGAAAGAAACAGTTGCTCTCTTTTTCATCTTCACTCTCCTCCCCCCCTCCAGTAAAATACAGAAGGATTTGACTTGAGGAAACATGAAAGAGGCTTATACCAGAGTCGGCTTTGAACCTCTCCAAAAAAGAAAAAAAAAAGAAAAAGTGAAAAAACTGTTTTCCCCTCAATTTGGGGATCTTCTCTCCAATTTTGATTTATGCAGAAAGGCCTCATTTGTCAAGCAGGCTGAGTCAGTGCCTGATTTACATAAAGTGTTCGTTTTCTACGTTCTGCTAATTAGCAATTTGCAGCTTAATTGGAGAGTGGCTCTCGGTTAGGAGACAAAGCTATCCACATATAAAAATATCTCCAGATGTACTTTGCGACATGGCTTGCCTCGCTGTTGGATTTTCAGCCTCCGGATCCCTCGATTCTGCTTTGGGTCGTACTTTTTCACACACCTTTCCCTTGTTTTGTTATTTCCATCCATATTTGGGCCTTTCTTCCTCATCACCTGGCCTTTACCGTTTATTCATAGCAATCCGTCTTCCCCGCTCGCCTTGTAGATTTTGCTTTTATCATGCTGATACTCGGCTTCTAAAAGCTGCTGTAATAAATATTAATTAATTTATAAGGGACGATCTGACTGCTTTATGTGAAAGTGGTCTCTCCTGGTGATACAACATATAATTATCGCTTAATTCTGCACTTCTCTTCAGCTCCGTTTAGTCGTTGAGCTCCTCATTTTGATTTTTCATTCCTCAACTTAACTGTTTCAGATTTACTCTAATTGCTTTCCAAGAATTGACGCAAAAAGTTTTTAAAAACCCTCCTGCTCAGCTTCAAATAGAAAAAAGACAAAATTAGCAGCTAAAAATCCATATATTTCCTTCAGCAGATGGTGGAGACCAAAAACAGAGCTAAAAGAAGAGAAGATGTTGGACTTGCTCTTTCCACTTTCCAACCACAACTCCACGTGAATACTGAATGAAAACAAAACCATAGAAAGGAATAAGTATCTCTAAAATAGAATGGGCTTTATGAAAACAAATAAGTAGACACTATATTAGAAATGATAATGATCAAGAGAGCGGTCACAGACCTGAAAACAAAAGTCAGTCACAAAACACACATCTAAGTTAATGAGGTTGTTAATGTGGAATGTTTTCCCACTTTCTCTACAGTGCTTGGCAAAGTTGGCAGACATTTTTGGGGAACAGGAACATGCTGTCTGAAACAATTTCGTAGATGATAAATGTTGGAGTTGTGGACATTTGAGTGTCTGGATACAACCCTAGCTGAGCTGCCAGCATCCAGTATGACAATAGCGTGTTCTCATCTTTCTCTTGTCATCTGTGACATCGTGTCATTTGAATAAAGCTGCATTTTAAGGTGGCCTTTTGTAGTCAGTGGTCAAAGGAGTGTCTGTGTCCTGGTCACACTATCTGATCGTTGTCCTTTAAAGCCACAACTGATTAGAGTCTGGATTCACTCAACTTGTCACCAGTTGAACTGCTTAAAAACCTTTTGTGCACAGTTGTCTAGATTTAACGCTTTTCAAACCATGACAATAGAAATAAGTTCGAAAAACCGTCCATTTGCGTTCTGTGTTTATCTTTCTGTTCAGTGATGCTCTGTACCTGCTGGATGTGTAAATGGTGTTTGCTAACCAGTTCCCTGGAAGGTGACAATATGTCAGTGTTTTGTTTACAGCATGTGTCTGCTGATCCCAGGTGGGCATTAATCTCGATGAATTTTCTCCAGGTGGAAGTCTAGACGTTTCTCATGACTTCTTTATATACTGTCTTCTTTATTAACATCCATAAATCAAAATTGCTAACACCAGCCTGTCCACCTTTTTGTTTCCAGTGCCAGAGGAGCCGTCGTATTTCACCTGCCAGCAGTGTGAAAGCGTTTTTCCATCTGCATGGGCCCTCTTACAGCACGCTCAGCACACACACTCCTTCAGCATCTACCAAGAGGACGAGGAGGATGACACCGACGTGGGAGGAAGAGGAGGCCGTAAAGAGCACAAACCTGCTGCGGCCGTTCTGGATCCACGCCATCTGAGCCAAGCTCTTGCCTCAGCCTTTCAACCCTCCACTCTGCGCCTCGGCCGTTCCCGTCAGACGCACGCCACCTCCTCCTCCAGCAATCTCCAGGCTCTGAACTTTTCAGTGCGGCTCAGGGAGCTCGCCGAAGGGAATAATAACACCACGGGCAGCTCCCCCGGAGGCCTGATGCTGTCTCCGTCCTCATCTCCACCAGCAGCTTCTCCCTTTCCTCACACTGGATCCCTCCAGGCTGATTTCCACTGCGAGCTGTGTGACCAGAACTTCCAGTCCCTACACGCCCTGTCCGCCCACCGCCGGACTCACGCCTGCGAGAAACCCTACCACTGCGGTGTGTGCGGGCAGGCCTTCGCCCAGAGCGGTCAGCTGGCTCGCCACATAAGGAGCCACCACCGTGAGGCCGGAGGAGGAGGAAGCGGGTACGAGTCTTTGGAGATGGTTATGATGGAGGAGGATGTAGGGAGGCAGGGAGTGAGAGGGAGGGTTCAGATGCAGCCAGCTGGAATCATGGGGAAGATTGGTACAGATGTGAGAGCTCAGGGCCCCTCTGAGCTGGACCTGACCATCCCCAAACACCCCTCCATAGCTTCTGGTCTAATGCTGCTGACCTCCCAGGTTAGACCATCAGACAGGGAGCTGCTGAGGCTGTACCAGCGCCAGAGAGAGGGGGGAGAGGGAGGTGAGGAGGAGGCAGAGGGGCAGGGGGAGCCCCAGCACACCTCGCCCTGCGCCAGCCCCTCCGAAGGCTCACTGGAGAGCGGAGAGACGGGAGGGAGCGGAGAGAGCGGCATCGCCAGTGGCAACTGCACACCCAAACGTCCAGAGATGGGCGACAGGGTGCGAGGAGTTGGAGAGTGGGAGAACGAACGAGGGGAGATCATCGAGAAAGAGTGGAGCTCAACCAAAGTCAGCGAGGCTGTGCAGGAGTGGCAGAGGGACAATGAGCGGAGGAGTGTCGCCGGAGCTGCTAGCACTGGAGGAAGCAATAATAATAATAATAATACTTCTGCCAGTTCAGGTGGGAAGAAAAAGAAGGATGAGGCCTGCGAGTACTGTGGCAAACAGTTCAGAAACAGCAGCAACCTGACAGTGCACCGCCGCAGCCACACAGGAGAAAGACCCTACCGCTGCGGCCTCTGCAACTACGCCTGCGCGCAGAGCTCAAAGTTAACGCGCCACATGAAGACCCACGGGGCTCAGGGAGCAAAGGCTTCCTTTTTGTGCCAGCTGTGCTCAGTGCCCTTCACTGTCTACGCCACGCTGGAGAAACATCTGAAGAAAGTTCATGGCCTGAGCCACGCCAGCGTCGGAGCATACGCGCAGGCCAGCGCCGCGGACACTTTAGCTGCCATAAAAGCCGAGGAGGAAGCGGCAGCAGTGGTGGTGAAAATGGAGGACGAGGCCAGTTTGGATCGGACAGAAACAGAGAGCAAAATGCAAAGTGATGCTGTGAAAAGCATGGAGGTGGAGGAGGGGCAAAGCCAAGCAGAGTTTGTGGAGAACAGAGGGAGTCCAGCGGTAGTGGGCGACCTCCCACCTGAGAACAGTGCAGAGGCGAGCTTAGCTTTGACTGCTGCACCCTGAGAGCCGTTCTCATTCACTTACTGACAGTAAAATAGCACTGTATAGGATTTAACTCACCCTTTCAATTAAAAAAAAACAAAAAAACAACTCAGTCCACCTTTGAACTGACAGTCAAGTAAAACTGGAGTTTAAAGAAGAAGTTGCGGAGAGCAGGCAGCACTGAGGCACACAGCAGCCACGTTGTATGCAAAGCTGCTGGTTGAAACTAAGTGCCTACAGTTCTCTGCAAAACAAAGAAAAAACAAGGCCATGACATTCAGCAGGGAGATTACCATAGCTCTCGAACAGGAAGCGAACCGCCACAGTCCACACCGCCACAGGAAACTGATCACCATGCTGCAGCACAACATGCAGCAAACCTTTGATTTATGTCTCTGGTGACCCACTGGACAGGTGGAGACTCATCGTAACTGTCAGACGATACAGAGAAAAGATTATATTGAATTAAAAAAAAAAAGAAAATCCTAGCAATAGAACATTGTTAATATATTTTCAGCACCAACAAATGGAGAGAGGTCATATAGTGCTACCTAGCTGTTGCTGGTTTTCTTATGAGAAGACCTTTTAAAGACTAAAGATGTTTGAACAGACACAGGGGTGAAATGAATCCAAACACTGTCTGCCTGCAGTTTCTCAGACTCCTCTTTTTAAAGGCGCTTGGTTGTCACAACACTTGTCACTTAACGTAATGTTTACAAGGCTCGTGGGGCCTAGCAAGGTTGTGCTCCTCACTTTGTGACAGTATGTACGGATGATTTTCAGTTCTGTTTTTTTTTTTCTTCTTCTTCTAATTTTATAAATGTGAATACAGAGACTTTAAAGTCTCATCTACTGATGTTTTCCATGATTAGTTACTATGCATAAAAAAAACAGCAATTTTACCTACATGTGAAACGGGTGTGTATTATTTTTTCCCCTCTATTTGTACTTATTATTGTGATGGTAATCTCTCTCTTTCATTGTTTACACTTGTTAAGTGCCCGACTGCTTGAAGCTCGTGCATGTTTTGCAGCCATTTGAATTTTTCTTTTGTTTTTTCCTCTTTTTCTTTTTTTTTCTTTTCTTTTTTTTTTTTTGCCGTTGCCTGTGTTTGAATTCCTCCTAATTTATGGATGCTGCATGTTGTTGGTTGTGCAACTGAAAAAGTCTGTTTCACTGCTGAACTTACAGGGTCGAGAGGTGCGGCAGTAGCTAGTTGACTGGTGGGAAGCCGCCAAGAGAGCACTTGGGTGAGTGAGTTGTGTGAAAGGTTTTGTGTGTGTACATATTCGGGGAAAAAGAAAATCCTCAGGTGACACGTGTACTTGAACCCTCTGTCCTGTGATATTGTCCTGAGCATGACTCGACTTTACAAAATAAGAGCCCGATACTAGATTTTTGGAACTGATACCGATTTGCAGAGAGTAAAAATTCCTGCATTTATTAATCAGCCAATATTCTTTATTTATATATATGTATACATATATACATTTAAAAAAAATGAAAAAGAAAAATAGAAGAGGAATAAATTTCACAAACTAGTCAGCAGCTTAGCGTGAACACACCGCTTGACTCCACACCACCATCTGCTCAGCTGTGGTACGTGCTCTGCTACATGTGCTGCATGCTGCAAAGACTATTGGAAACAATGAGGTCGGGGCTGCTCTGCTGGACAAACTATGGTGAAACAATTTTGAAAATGTCTATGTTGTTTGTCAGGAAAAAAAGATCATATCAGCACATATTTTATTACATATATGCTGATAGCAAAAAGCCATTATTGCCCAATCGATATATCGGTCAGGTTCTAATCATAATCGTAGTGTCGAGCTTCTGACAGATCATCATGTGACACCGCTAAAGATTTAAACAAAAGTTGAGTGCGAGGAAATCTGTTCATTTTATCAAATAAAACAGGTCAGAGCCTTCAAGTAAATTGCTACCACCTTTTTCGTGACTACTGTGATGACTTTGTGTTACCATTATCCGATTCAGGTCAAAACCAGTTCTTGTGTGTGTTGTTTCAAAGTGAATTCGGAATGAGTGCAGTGTAACTGTTCAGGGATATTTTTTTGTACATAGATTGACATTCTTGCTCTTGCTATCTTTATTATTGTTGTTATTGTTAATAATATTATCTGCCTGCCCCTGTTACATGCTCTCCACTTTTCCTAGCATTGCTGATTGTTTCCTTTTACGCTGAACACTGGCTATTGTGAAGCTACGCCGCTCTGCTGTCTTTGTAAACTTGATTTTTGTAATTGACCT